TTGTTATTCTCCCTACATCAATTTGCATCACTTTCTAACTTTAGAAAAGACAAAAAAAAAAAAGGAGTTAAATAACGTAAATCATATTGGATGATGGATAGGCGAATCCTTTATAGTGGAATAGGGTTGGCCTTCAATGATGAATTGTATTGTTGATAAAAGTGAAATACATTTATGTGAGAATCATGTCAAAAAAGCAGCTTTTTTTTTGTTTTTTCTTTTCTATACCCTTAGCAATTCTAAGATGTTCACTTCTCTGGCAAATACAAAAAACGCGTTTTAATGGCAGGGCTGAGAAGGGGTGGGATGGGGGTCTGGGTCCATGGAGATTCACATTTGGATCCGAAAATTCTATATGGGATGGCCTGGATTCCAAATATTCAGATTCGAATCTCGATCTAAAAATATATATATGGAATTCGGATCTAAATTAGATCTAATCAAACGTAAAAAATTATGTTATATATTATTTTATATCTATAAAATAAAATAATATATAATAAAAATAACATACAGAACGTGTTTAAAGAGGGTTTTGTTACTATATAATGTATTCATATATATGATATATGATATTTTAATAACTGAGTCGGATCGAATCCACTTGTACCCAAATCCAATCTAAATTACTATTTAAATCCAATATTTAGATCCAGATCCGACCCATCGGATAAAGTCTGAAATTTAGGTTCCAGGTATGATCGGATAAATTCTCAGCCCTATTAATAGTGTTAGGGAAGCTTTAGGATGGCAACATTTTAAACATGAATAAGACTTCAAAAGAATTGACCCTTTTGTGGTCAGAGCGGCATGCCTCCTACTTAAGAAAAGAGGTTTGAAGAGAGGAATTGGGCTTGGGCTTGGATTTGTGCTCAAGTAGTTAGCAATTGACGTCAAGCAATGCTATATCTCAAGTTCGATTTTTAAATAAATAAATAAAAATATATTTGAAAAAAATAGGGCTATTGCCAAAAAAAAAAAAAAAATGTTCCTAAATCTAATCCTAGTCTTTGAAACTGTGATTGCATATGACACAAATCTTACCATAACTTACCATACAACCGAGGTTTATATAAGTTTTTAATCTTAGATTATAGAAGTAAGGGCTACCTTAAAAATCCATTCCAAAACAATATTTTGAAATTGAAAACCTAGACAGTTGATCATCTTGACCCGAGGTATATATATATAAATTGAATTTCAAAGTCCTGAAAAATAGTGCATATTATAACCCAGTGTCTATTTTCAAAAAATTTAAAAAACAATATATAATGAAATCATTTATCTTTAGTACAAAGTGGTCATAATTAATCTTGACCATTGAATGTAAAATTGAGTAGCTATATTTATTTTATTGACCAAGTTCAAAGTTCAAAAAAAAATTTCTGAAGCTTTATAACACATCCAAGCTATCAGATTTCACATCAAACTGATTGTAACTAATTGTGACCTTCCTGTAAAAAAAAAATAAATGATCACATTGTATGCAATCCCTAAATTTAAATGTTTATAGATCGGATTGATCTACTCCATTTTTAGAGCTTTAAAATTTATTATTAAGTGTGACAATAAATTCCATCGTAAAAATTTTCGACGCCGAAACTACATCTTTTAATAAGATTAAAAAATGCACCTTACTTGAGTATTTAAGATTTGACACCTAATATGAACCACGTCCTTAATTGATTATATGTTTTCTTTCGTAAATTAATCATGTACATGATGTAAATTGTACTAAAGTAATTTGGACTGGACTTTCCTTTAAAACTTCTTGGAGGAGTAGTAATCTTTTAAGATCATATTCTACGACTCATTTTTTTATTATCTTATTATTAGTAATCGATTTTTCCAGATGTTATCTTCTAAATCTACCTTCAATAATATATTACATTTCGAGAGAGATTGTTCCAAATTGTTGGCCAGTTTGACAAGGACATGATAGGGTCATTCATACAATTATCTCTTAAGAAAACCTTAAAGAAAAAGGTTTACAATGGACACCACAACAAAGAAATATAAATTAGGACTCAAATTAGGCTTTGATTGACTGCATGTATTGATTCAAATACTGGCGTGTGTAGTGATTTAAGGAAATAAACTTTTCATAAAGGAAAATGTTTCTATAGAAACCCATCCACCTATACGGTAGAGAAAGGTTTCCATGCTCATCCACCTATATGGTAGAGAAAGGTTTCCATGCTTTCCCTACAACATAGAAATTCTATCCTCTCATTACCATCCAGCTGTCCAATTTTGATCAAGAGAGCTACTCACTATTTGATCTTAGATTTGATGTCTCAAAGTATTTTATTTTTAACTTTTTTTATACAAATTGTATGAATATGAAATTTGATACGTGTCATCTTCTCATTGGAGCGCACCTATAAAAAATATTAAAAATAATTTTTCAATTAATTGTAATGACCAAAATACCCCTTAAAACTTTCAAAAATATTTTTATCATATTATTTTATTGAAAATATTTTTTTATATTTTTCGCTAGTATGAGTTTAATAGAGGAATGGACATCCAAAATTTAATGTCAAAATATTTTATAAAAAAAATTAAAAATAAAATAATGTAGAGACATAACATTGTGATTGGAACAATCTTACCCTCCATTCAAGATGGAGGGTTGGATAAAAAAAGAGGAAAGAACTTCTATGTTGTTAAGGAAGCATAAAAAAAAAATGCCCTTATTAAAGCAAAATTTGAGGTATACGTAGATCTGACAAGAACGCATATAATAAAAATAAAAACAATATGATAACAATTACGAGCACCCTCAAAGTTTAAGGGGAATTTCTTCATTTATTTCTATGGAAAATATTTTTTTTATATTTTTCAGGTTTGCCTTAATTTTATGATTGGAGGCCCAAAATTTCATCCAAAAAATTTTCATAGAAAAAGAATGAAAAATAAAACAGTGTTTGACGTGACATGACATGAATAATCGCAACTTTCAATTCAGATCGACAAAAAAGTGAAATCAAATTTAACTCATATGTTGTTGGGGTCACATTCCCCTTTCATAAAACCAAAAGAAAAATACATACGGCCCTTAAAAAAAGTATTGAAAATACAGTATACTTCGTTTATAGCTGAAAAATTACAAAAAAAAATAAATAAATTAGTAAACACGTAATATTCTTTCCCCAAAATTACCTCTTGATCCGAGGATGGGATACTTAGAACCGCATTTTATTTTTATTTTTTTATTATTTAGTAGGGCAGTGTACCAAATTTCAGGTGCCCAAGCGGTCCGCAGTTCGAGTCCTCATACATGTACTTTTTTGATAGAAAACAACTTACCACCCCTTGGACTGTGTACAGCTCGATTTTTTGATAGGTCTGACATCTCCATCTTTAGACCGCTTGTTATTTTTTAAAAAAAAATCTCGATCCAAGAATTAGAACCTCGCTTGTTACTTTTTTTAAAAAAAACCATGATCCGAAAATTGGAACTTCAGACGGTGCTCCGAAATAAGCATTATTCAATGACAAATAATAGAGAGAGATAGTGTAAGAGAAAAAGAGTAGAGAATTATGAAGAGAGTTACAAAAAGAGAGATAGTAAGAGAGAGAGAGGGATGAGGAGAAGTAAGAGCTACATTCCACATGAAACCTGCAAATCAAAGAAGAAAGAGGTACTGCATCATTTACATTTGCTCAAGCCCTGTTGTTTATGAGGCAATGACTTTCTCTGCTCCACCCTTTTCTCTCTCATCCCCAAAATTCCCTTTTCTCTCTCTTCCACTCTCTTCTTCTCCCCCTCTTTTCCAAATTCATCTCTTCTCTTCTCATTACCATTGCTACTCTCCTTCACCTTCTCTTCACCAACTTTATTGCTCATCATCCCCTTCACAATCTTCCCCAACTAAATTTAGAGGGTGACAATATACACTAACTTTTATCTAACTAAATTTGGCGAGTGAAAACATATGCTAAATTTTATCTAACTAAATTTGGATGAAAAATTCTCATGTTTATCTACTAAGATGGAGACACTGTATAATAGCTTTTGGCTTTCATGCATGCATCCAAGCGTTTGTATAGGACACTCTAATGTGCTAAAAAGATGGCACATGGGTTAGTACGTTGTTTGTTTGCTTCGATCGACAATGTCTCTAAAGTCTCTCGCAAGATTCTAATTGAGTGGGGTACCAACATGTCGGGTCGGGGTCGGGTCGGGTCGGCCCGGCCAGAACTACACCAGGGCTAAAAAAATGGCATGGAACTTGATTCCAAACCCAAATTCACCAGACCTAAATCTGGACTTGAAAATATAGTTTGGGACCTAGACTGAGACCCAAACCTGATTGGATCCGATCCAAAAATTAAACTATTAACGATATTTCACACAGATCCGATCAAAAAATTAAATAATTAACAATATTTTACGACCCAAAAAATATTACCGAACACAGACCCAAATCCAAACCGCGTCGGGTTTACCCATCAGATCACAGGTCGGTTCCGCGTCCATTGCCACCCCTAATTAAAGAGGGAGGGCACGCACACTCTCTCCCTATCCCTCTGGCTTCGTATAGTGGAATGGTAAAAAATGAGTAATATGCTGGTGGGCACGTATAGTATGCTCCTTTAGGAGTATAGTTGTGCTTCTACTCCGTCAGAAGAAGATGCGCTTCTTCTCAGTTGGACGGGAGGATTTTTTTAAATTTGGGAATTATTTAAGAACTATTAGATGATATTCTTTAAAAAATTTTGAAATTGGAGTGTTTCAACATTTACATCTCACTTTTAAAAATTGGATACTATATATTTAATCTCGAGACATTATTTTTTTTAAGCATTAATTAGTAAAAAAAATAGTTACATCCCCAAAATTTGAGAGTAGGATTTTATGGAAGGAGTAATGGACATTCTACTCCCGCATGACCATGGGAAATCAATAAGGTCATCACTGATTCGCCATCTAGTTTCGAATCCTACGGCTGTACGAATTTTTCATGGTCATGAGGATTACATATACAATAAAATACAATTTTCTTTTGAAGAAGGTGCACGATCTGTACGGTAACGACGACGGGAAATCTTGTTTCCACCGGTAATCGCTCTTTCACCGGATTTGCAGGTGAAAGATCGGGTTTCTAAAGTATAAATCGAGTGGAAGAAATATTTCGGGCTTTGCGTAATAAAGGCTTTGGGTTTCTTCATATGAAACTAGGCTTTTGAGTATGATCGGGGTTTCTGACAAGGAATTCTAGGGTTTTAATAGAGAGAAGTTTTAGGGTTTTTTTGAGATTCTGCCATGGCTTTGGATCGGAGGGCTCTTAATTTCATTTTCTCAGTGGATTTTATGAGAATGGGGATCTTATGGACCTTAGCTGTCATCTTCTCGCAATTACGGCTCCTTTTCAGGGGAATTTCAATAAAAACCCCGGCATTTCCTCGCGTCCCTCCAAATCCTAGCACCAGGCCCGTTTGCATAATTACTGGAGTAAGTCTTTTTTTTTTCCATTATCATTTTGAATCCTTATTCCATTTTCCATTTAAGCTTGACTATTTCTTTATTGTTCATAGTATTATTTCAATTTTTTCCCCTAAGTTCATGTTTACAACGTTTTCTCCTACATATTTATTATATTTTAGATCATTTATCCCCAAATTTCGTCTAACTACGGGAAACTTTATGCCGGTTGTTAAACCCTAGTACCAGGCCTGTATGCATAATCACTGGAGTAAATTTTATTTTCCTTTATTTTTTTGAACAGTTATTTATTGCATTTTCCATTTTTCCCCCACCATTTCTTTATTGTTGATTTAGCTTGATATATTCGTGTTCTTCCCAAAGCTTTTGTTTCTATATGTTTATTATAATTTTTCAATCATTTGTCCTCTACCTTTTAATTATGCGGAAGTTCTTATGTAGTCCTTTTCTTATGGATTATATTTTCTTTTACTTATTTTGAACCTAGATTGGTTTCACTTTATTGAGTGTTGATTTCTTTATTTATTTAAAATGGTTTCCTCTCCCTTTTTCCCCTCTAATCTGTTTTACTCAGGCAGGTACTGTTTAATGCTGACTGTCATGTGTTAACTTGTTTTGCATTTCATGGAATTGTTTCTTTATTTAATAGAATTGTTTCTTTATTTAATGGGTGTGGTTTGCATAAGGTTGCAACTTTAAACAATCAAATTAAGGTGCAACTTCAAACTATGTCATGAGATTTTGGCATCGGAAATTCTTAGGATGGTGTGAGAATCTATTTTTATCTCGAATTATAAGATTTTAAAATCTAAAAATAGTTCAAATCTAGTATAAAAATCTTGAAAATGGACGGTCCAGATAATATGTTGCAAGATATACTATTTTTAGGACTTGAAATCTCTCTTTTTCTCTATATCTATACATCTCGATGTCGAGAGGATCAATTAGATATTTTTTCAATATCAAAACAACCTTTTTCAAAGGATTTTATAGGTTTACCTTAATTCTACATTTTAAGGTGTGAACCTTATATAAATTAAAATTCTAAGTGCAAAATAAAATATTTTCTAAAAGTATATGGTACCCTCCATAAATATGGGCCCAATTATTTGTTTACTTATCTTTTGGGTATATCCAACTTACATGATAAGGTTGAATATTTGAAATATTTAGTAAATCTTTGAATCAAGATTGCTTAATCTAAGAAATAAAGATTGGATATACTAAAATAGAAAATAAAATAGTATTTTTTTTATTTAAATATTTGATAGGAGTAGATTTAGGAAAGAGAAGATATGCTTCTAGCTCTTCTCTTTGAATCTTGATGGTGGACTAAAGAGATGGATGACTCAAATCTCTCACCCCACAAGTCTCCTTAAATCGATGATCAAGATTTGACCTACGAATTGAGGTAAACCCAAGGTATAGAAAATCTATAAAAGAGGTTGCCCCACCTCATAAAATCTCTACACCTATTTTCTTTTCTCTCTAAGGGTGTATCTCTCTCTCAAATATCTCTTTATAGGTGGCACCTCATAAAATCTCTACACCTATTTTCTCTTCTCTCTAACGGTTTATCTCTCTCAAAGATCTCTTTAAGATCTTTTTATCAATGGCACGCTCCACCTAGGGCTTCAAGATCTCTCCCAAGTTTTTCTATGGGGCACACCCCAATCGAAATCTCTCTTGCCAAAAGGGCTTCAAGATCTCTCCACACTCCAACCAAAATCTGTCTGAAGCCAAATGGGCTTCAAGATCTCTCCCTAAGGGGCACACCCCAACCAAAATCTCTCTCAAGCCAAAAGGGCACACCCAAGTCATATCTCTCGTTTCTAGGTGGCACGCCCAACCTAAGGTTAGCTTGTTGTGGTTTGATTTTTTAGTAGCAAAAGGGAGGATCTCTTGCTAGTAGATCTCTCCCTCTCTTTTTGATCTACTCTCATCTCTCCAAAGTGAGGCCTTAGGTGGTTGGTTTTAGGTCGAGATCTATATGTCATTGAGAGGTTTTTGCCATATGTAGGAAAATCAAGAGACCGATCATAGATCCCGAGCACCATTAGAAGGAGGAGACTCGGTGTAGGGTGTACTAAGCTCGATTGAGGTAATCTTTGGCACTCTTTTTTTGTTTCTTATCATATTTAATTATATTATCTTTATATTCCAAGCATAAGAGTTGTGGGTATTTTCTTTGTTTAAAGAACATTCGTTTAATGGCATCTAGGTTTTTAATATTTTGAATTTATTAGTTTTATTTTTTTTGAAATTAAGACTACTTGTAAGTGATCTTTGCCAAAAGAAAAAGGGTGAAAAGAAGAAAAAAATATATGGATATATATATTCCCCAACAATATCACATTAGTCTTTCTTTCATTAGTATCAGAGCTATTGATACTTGATGTCATCAGTTGTCTTTTCTCTTTATTGAGTCTAGATCAAGCTTGAGAATGAGATATAAGAAAGTTAATGACCTTCGTGGTCACGTAATACACCTGCGGTTAAAAATTATTAGAATATTCAGACACCGAAAAAGGTTCTGCACTCTGCAGAATGGGTATTCTTGGCTATTTTGGAGCATTGATATGAAGAGAATACCCATTCTATAGAATATGGGTATTCTGGGCTATTTTGGAGCATTGATATGAAGAGAATACCCATTCTATAGAATACCTTTTTTCGGTGTTTGAATATTCCAATAATTTTTAACCATGGATGTATTACGCGACCACAAAGGTCATTAGCTTTTTTAGATCTCATTCTCAAGCTTGATCTAGACTCAATAAAGAGAAAAGACAACTAATGACATCAAGTCTCAATAGCTCTGATACCAATGAATGAAAGACTAATGTAATCTTGTCGGAGTATATGTATTCTTTTTTTTTTTCTTTTCACCACTTTTCTTTTTCTTTTCTTTTGGCAAATATTACTTACAAGTAGTCTTATTGCAATGTCTTATTACAATAACTCTTGTTTCAAAGAAAATAAAACTAACAAATCCAAGATCTTAAAAACCTTGATGCCATTAAACTAATTTTCTTTAAACAAAGAAAATATCTACAATTTTTATGCTTGAAAATATAAATACGATATAATTAAATATGACTAGAAACAAAAAGAGAGTGCCGGAGATTACCTCAATCGGGCTTAATATTGTCCACACCGAATCTCCTCTTTCCGATGGTGCTCAGGATCTATGATCGGTCTCTTGATTCTCCTACATATGGCAAAACCCTCTCAATGGCATATGGATCTCGTTCTAAAGCCAACCACCTAATGCCTTATTGCCCTAGTCTTACTCAAACCCATTTGGCTTGATCTTTGGAGAGATGAGAGATAGATCAAAGAGAGAGGGAGAGATCTACTAGCAAGGGGATCATCCCCTTTGTCACCCAAAAATCAAACCACCACAAGTTAACCTTAGCTTCGGGGTGCCACCTAGAAACGAGAGAGAGATGACTTGGGCGTGCCCTTTTGGCCTTGAGAGAGATTTTGGTTGGGGTATGTTCCCCTTAGAAAAATTTGGGAGAGATCTTGAAGCCCTAGGTGGGGCGTGCCACCTAGAAACGAGAGAGATGACTTGGGCGTGCCCTTTTGACCTTGAGAGAGATTTTGGTTGGGGTATGTTCCCCTTAGAAAAAACTTGGGAGAGATCTTGAAGCCCTAGGTGGGCCGTGCCACCTATAAAGAGATATTTGAGAGAGAGAAAGATAAGAAAAAATAAGTGTAGAGATTTTATGAGGTGGGAGAGCCTATTTTTATAGATTTTCTATGCCTTGGGGTTTGCCTCAATTCGTATGGTCAAATCTTGAACGTCAATCTCAGGAGACTTGTGGGGTGAGAGATTTGAGTCATCCACCTCTTTGGTCCACCATCAAAATTCAAAGAGATGAGTTAGAGCCTTATCCTCCCTTTCCTAGATCTATTCCTATCAAATCTTTAAATAAATATTTTTTTCTTGGTTCAAACAATCTTGATCAAAGATTTACTAAATATTCAACCTTATCATGTAAATTGGTTATACCCAAAAGAAAAGCCAACAAACAAGGGGATAACTATCACCCAATCTTGGAGAACAAGTTAGTCCTTTTGGGTGGGGCCTGCCACCCTTTGGTGACCACACATGGGCCCCACCCAATCCCACATGTTCTAAATTGGGCCCCCATATTCATGAAAGGTACCATATAATTTTAGAAAATATTTTATTTTATATTCAAAATTTTTAAATCTTATATTTTATTTAGAATTGTTAAATCTTACATTTTAAGGTGTGAACCTTATATAATTGTTTCCTTAATCCGTGGTTTCATTTACTTCAAGTTGTCAATTATTTCAGAAATACTGTATCATCGTATAATTGAGTAAAAATCTCAAATATGGTGTTTTTTTGTGAATTCCTTCTATATTAGGGCCCTATTTTGTAATATCAATCATTTTGTTGGAAAAAGAACATTTATTTGTTCAAATAACATTTTACTCGTTTGCAAATTCCCTTAATCCAGTGTGGTTGAAAATTAAAAAAAAACTGAATTTTCAGGTGTAAGAATTACATGGTTTTCCAAAGTACAAATGCTTATATGTATATTGTGGATGCATAAAGCCATATCTCTTTGTTCTTCTCTCCAATGTACAATGACGTTTTCGATTTAGTCTGAATGCTTCATGTTTCATATGCCTCTTCTTTCTTTTAGTTTATTTTGTTTTTTCATTGTCTTGGTGTTTGATGCATATAGGCCACGTCTGGTTTGGGCAAAGCAGCAGCTCACGCTCTTTCAATGGAACGTTACTTTGTAATTCTTGGTAAGATTTTGTTATAATTTAATCTTGTTATTATTTGACATTAAGCATGATCCTCGTCAAACCATGAACTGGGTGATGTCGATTGAATTCAAATTACTTTAATTATTAATTTTTTAATGGAACTCTTGGTCCACTCTGATCACTGTCTATGTTAAACATTACTGTTAGACCTTTTGGCTTTTGTATTTTTTCTTTTTATTTCTTAATAATTTTATTATGGTTTTTTAGACCTTTTTCTTCCCCTGAAATAAATCTATTCTATGTTTTAGTAGAATCCATCAATGCAATGTTTATGGCCTGCAATTCATGACTCTAGTTGGGGTGGCATCAATTCATTTGGCAGAGTTCTTGTCATCTTTAAAAACAGAATTGAAATGAGATCACTGTATTTTGCACCACTAGAGTCTTACTCTGCCAGATAAATCTTATGCACGCTAGGGCATTTAATAATAGATGGGGGTATTTAGCTCTAAAGGCATATTAATCTCCATATAACTTCTTCAACTTTCTGGATCTATCTTTTACTAATTCCATAGAGAATTTTGATCCTTTTCTTACACATTGATCTTGAATTTATATTAGTTCTCCTTTTTATTGGTCAATCGAGATTATCTGTTATGCATTTTTCACAATGTTGCGTAGTCTTTGTTTGTTACGGCTTGTTTGCCATCTGGAATCAAGTTCCCTTGCAACGATGTTTTAAGACGTAATTTTGTGAGTGATGAGATTAGCATGCTAAACATTATAAGTAATCAAATCAGAATTTGGTTAGAATTTGATAATAAAGCAGGCAGCCATTCAAAACTACGCAACATAGAAAATCATGGGATGGAATATGCACTCCTCAACATAGTAATGCTTCCATGTGTTGTATTTACATATAGCCATTAAACTTGCACCTATCATACATTTCTTCTCTTTCCTTTTTACTGGTAATTGGTAAATATGGAAATCTTGAACCCACAAAATCTGGTGTAGGTATACGATGTGAAGAGCTCAAAGAGTTGACGGTTCACATTAGCTCTGATACCCAGTATTACAATCTAATGAATTTGATTTTGGTTACAAGTATGATGCCTTGTTTGATTTAGGATGAGTTCTGTAGTCATGCATATTCCCTGTCTAAATTTTTTTGTTCTTTGCCATATTGGTAGCTGGCCGTTCAGATCACCTCCTATCCAAGGTAAATCCCTAGGCCAAAGTCCAAAAGCCCAAAGCGACATAGTTCTATCTTTTTGTGTCCTCAGGTCTCTGCCAATTGTGGAACAGACCATTGAAGAAATCAAGCAACAGCAAGAAGATGCTCACCTAAAAGCATTTCAAGTAGATGTGTCTTCCTTAGCTTCAATACTGAATTTCAAGAATTCCGTTCAACAATGGCTTTGTGATTTACACATGCATCCTTCTATTCAACTTCTGGTAAACAATGCTGGAATATTGGCAACATCCCGGAGATTCACAGCTGAAGGCTATGATAAGTAACTACCGGAGCTTTTCCTGGGAATAAATGTTTGTAGATCATTAAGTCTCTCTTTGGGTTGCTCAAAATACTCTCCCTCTCATGTGATGTTCTGTTTCATATTTCCAATCCAGGATGATGGGGACTAATTACATGGGTGCATTTTCCATGGCCAATGTACTTTTGCCACTACTCAAGAACAGTTCTAAACCCTCACGAATAGTTAATGTCACATCTTTCACCCATCATTGTGGTAAGCTCTTTCCTGCCCCTCTTTTTTGCAATGCTATGTATGTCCAAACCATCTTTGATTAAAACAATGGATATATTATCGATATGCTCATTGTATTAGCTATCCTTTAGCAAGTCGCAAATATCTCATTCTAAACTATGTTTTTTATTATTCCTGCAGTGTCTGGTGCACAGTTCGATGAGGAGTCATTGGCTGGCAGGAATTTGCAGCATTTATCAAGTGGAAAATCATATCCATTGTCTCGCATTTATGAGTACTCAAAATGTGGGTACTTTTCTCCCTGGAATTAGGGAAAGTTTTGTACTTTTTACAACTGGGGTGGTTTTAATTCATTGCATGCCTCCGTGCTTTTCATAAGAACACTAATGCGACATTATTTTCTTCTCTTGATGCTTAACAGTATGTGTACTTCTGTTCTCATATGAGCTCCATAGGCAGCTTTTCCTAGCGGATCCTTCTCATCACATCTCGGTCATGTACGTGTTGAGACAAATCCAGTCCATTCATTTTCTGTCTTTTGCTATCTTGTATTTTATATTTTTTCTGTTAATTCTGCAACACAAATCTCCACAAATTGTTTCCTACAAAGATATAATGGGTGATGAATGAAAACTTGTTTTGAGTGAGAGAAATTCAATCGAGTAAAATTGACTAGTCAGGTGCCCTATAAGTGAAAATTTTGGGATATACTGATGAAAAAAAAAAAAACTTGGATATTTCCGGAGTTTTCTTGCATATAATTTTCTTTCTTGAATGATCGCTCCCAATGTGGTAGCAGTGTGACTGGACTTAGGTGATGAGTAGGTTCAATTCCCCTAATTCTTTAAACAAAAAAAAAGGGAAAAAAACTCGACGATTGATGGCATTGATCAAGACCTATTTAAGTTTTTGAATACTCAACATATCTTGTCAATTTCATTGATGTGGGGTTGCTAAAAAACGTAAATTACTGCTTCGATAAAAGTTGTTTGAGCTAACATTGTTTGTGAATTTTGTTTGGCTAACAGGGCCGCTGATCCTGGGGTCGTAAGAACTAACATCATGAGGGAGGTCCCTCAAAGTTTAGCAGAGCTTGCCTATACTGCTTTGGATCTTCTGTGTGTTCTGAACTCTCCTGAAAGTGGGGTGCAATCTATTATCGATGCAGCCCTTGCACCTCCAGTAAGTGTTTCTTTCTTGTGTTCTTAGTGAATTTTGAACTTCTCAAGTCACTTGTTTGGCTGGGACAGAAAGCTTGGTGCACGGTAGAGAGCTCAAAAAAGATGATAATTTTGGAATACTCCTTAAGTGTGTTCTGTTGTGAAATGAATATTGCAACTGGTTCAGTAATAAAAGTAAAAGTTTCCACTAGCTTTCAGGGCAAAATGAACCATTTCATGGTTTTAGATATTGAGAAAAATGGCCCTACACACCCGATCTTGATGGGAGGCAGATAGAGAGCTCTGTACTTTTTCTGTAACTTTGAATTTGAGCTATTTTGGTGAGTGTGTTTTCTGTTAGTTTTTTATTTGTCCATCTCGAAGTCCATTGAGAAGACACATTCACATCTTGTTATAAAAAGTGTGGTGATCTCTTTCATCACCTACTGAAAAGCAATGGCTGTTTTGTAAAAGTTGTGCAAAAATCAAAATACAATTTATCATGTATTTTTGTATGATTGCATTTTTTTGGTTGCATCAGCTAAATTGCATTTATGATTTTACCATAACTAATTTACACCTCTACTAATGCTCGTTTTGTGCTCTCAGGAAGCATCTGGACATTACTTTTTTGGAGGAAAAGGCAGGACGCTTGAGTCGACCTTTCTTTCTTATGACCCGAAGCTATCAAAAGAGCTTTGGATAAGTTCCAATAATTTGCTTCAGAAAGCTCAACTTACATTACAGAAATCGGGGGAAATTTCCAGAACATCTGATTAAACAAATAAGGGTAAGTTTTGATGAATCTTTCAAAATTTTGTTAAGCTAGAATTTGAATAATAATTATAGGAAAACCTCAATCTCATAAACTATTATGGTTGTTTTGTGAGATATCAATCTCATGAACTGCTCTGTTATGGGAACCTCAATCCCATAAACTATTATGCTCTTGGACAAGTTATTTGTCAGCCTTTTACTTCACTTGTTTTGGGATACTATGAATCGTTTGGAAAGCATACAAGGCTATAACCCACTTATCGTTGCAATAATGCTGCCATCTGCCTAGTGGTTGTGATGGAACTGCCTTTATCCATGCAAACTCAACCTTTTTAATTGCTTGGTGTAACAGTGGGCTTAGAGAGAGAGAGAGAGAGAGAGAGAGAGAGAGAGGAAAGGGAGGGAGGGAGAGATCCCAGTGGTTGTCTTATGATGCATTAGAGAGAGAGAGAGGGAGGGAACGATCCCAGTGGTTTTCTTATCATGCATTTCAAACTTAACATCTGTAATTTTTTATGAATGACTGATATATCTGTAAACTTCTTCGCATCTATTGTAGTTTGGTCAACATTTGAAACCAATGTTTTTAAACTCGGCTCAGGCCTCGAACTTGGCCCTGGCCTATGTAATTCAGCTGAATCCGAGTGGATTTGGCTGAGTAAAGTACAAAACCCAAAAAATTTACTAAATAAAAATTGCTAAAAATAAAATACATTTTAAAAAATGAAATAAAACCGAAAATGCCCAAATATGCTGAAAAAGTCATGAAAGATGGATTTAGAAAATTTTGATTTATGGTTGTCGGCATTTCGGAAAGATTAAAAAAAAAAGAGGGAACTACAAAAATATGGCGTATGACAGAAAAAGCTCACAAGTCATTGCAAAAACATCCAAATTACACATACAATATGTACACATTGATCCCGTGATGATATACAATTTTTATGTTTTTTTATTTGTTTAATATGCTCGAGTTGTACCCAGGTACTCAGCTCGGCAAGGGACCAAGTCTGAGTGGACTTGGCCGAGTGGTTAAACACTGTTGGAAACTATGGCTAGTTTATACTCTCTAACTCATTTTGAACTGTTGGTAGTTTAATACTTTAATAGGTGCTTGTAGACACTGCTTCTAACTGCTATTTGCGATGTAGTTGAAAGGATATTTTGAATGTTGATCTGAAGCAGTTTAGCGAGAAAGACGAGTGGACTTTGAGGCAGTGCCCCCAATACCAGTGAGGGATATAGGAAACTGAAGAGCCAAATTGTTTTTTAGCCACTTTAAATTCAATTTTGTGTAAAAAGCATTTCTTGAGAGATTTTAGGAGACTTTTAGTAAACTGAAGAGTCAGAGCTTTATGTGGCCACCATAACATTTTTGTACATAAAGGAATGTCTTGGCTAGTTTCTCTATGCCTAGATGTTTTTTTTTATTTAAATGTTGGCCAGAAATTATTTTTGGTCAGCTATTTTGTTTATAGCAGTTGAATTGTACTGCATGAAAATGTATTAGTCCATGAAGTTTTTCGTATGTGGTGATTGGTCATAACTAGTTCATCATCATCATCAAAGTTTTTTTCTAATTATTTTGGGTCAGCTACATGAATCGTGATCTACTATTCTGCTCTATCAAGGCTATACACTCACCTTTTTTAGCGGTGATTCAGTGGGGAGAGGGCCTCTACCCTTGATAGAAATTGAGCCTAGGATGCAGTGTTGCAAATCGTCAAGCGCTAACCAATTAAGCTTGGGCTTTTTTCTTAAAGTGGTATGTCAGTGGGGATTTGGCTTCTGCCTTTTAGTGACAATGGAGTCAAAGACTTCACCATGGGGTTCGGCAATATTACTACCAAAACGCTCTTGCTTTTTAGTGAGAATGGAGTCAGAGATTTCACCATGATGCTCGGCAATATTACTATCAAAATTCCACGCCATTCTCGCCATACACTCACTTATCCAAAAAAAAGGTCATACATTCTGTAAGATTATAAGACCCTTTATATATTTTTTACTACTTTCAATCATGTCTTTTCGGGTTTATTGTTGGTCTTTTTTTAGCCAATCCACTTGATCTAACTTGAACCTCTTAACAAGTGTTGTATTGGGTTTGCGTTGCATATCATCTGTACATTAAGTCTATTTTATCTCAACTTATTGCTTATTGGAACCACATCTAAGTTTTCTTGAAGGTAATTCATTTTGAATTTTGTCCCTTCTTTTGTTGCCACCCATCAATTTCAACATCTACATCTCAGCGACACTCATCTTTTGGGCATATATTGTTTCTTGACTGTTCAAATTCCGTCTCATAAAACAAAGTTGATCTTAAAACAGTTGTATAGAACTTGTCCTCCAGCATCATAGATCCTACCTAGTTAATGACTGCAATATTTTGAGAATTATATGATTAGTTTTCAATACCCTAGGGAAACTGCAGCAGTTATTTTGGAGGTCCGCAACAGGCGGAATATAGCCTAGTCTGATGTGCTTTCATGTCTTCCATTTTGACACCCAGCAGTCTGATGTGCTTTCATGTCTTCCATTTTGCCACCCAATGGTTTTAGTGGTCACACCTAAATCATCAACGCATGCCATATAATCGATGCTTAAAGGGGGTGATTAATTTACCCGAAACTTTCCATTGTTTTGGGTATGATTACTGAAAATAATATTCATGTCACGTAATAGTCTACACGATATATTTTTAAGTAGTATTGGTCAGAGTTCTAAGCTTGTGGGAATGTAGGGTTGGATATTGTATTAAGGCATCATCCGCCAACCCCATTCCCATATCTTTTAAAAATATTTGTTTGTTAATACAAAAGTTAAACCCTCTATTAGTGAACTTTTATGTGCTTACACACTTCAGCAATTATTACTTATGGATTACTCAAAGGAAAGTAAAAAAACCTATTTGTTTTTAGTATAAGGAGGTCGTAATCACTATTAACATTATACGTCAAATCTGACGGTTAGGAGTTTTCCATTAATTGAGCTCAAAGTTCAAAGAGAAAGTTTTTAGACCCCTCTACCCAAAGCCGTTGAATTTCACATTTGATCACTATGGTTGATTATAACCTTCCTGTGCGAAACCTCATATTCCTTAACTCGCACCTCAAATTTCGTAACACAATCAAACAAGATGCAAAGAGAGCATAGAAACACAACAAAGTGCTATACAAATATAAGCAATGCCATCGAGTAGCATTATGTTTCACACAAGTTTGCCGAGCAGTTCCAAATTTAGACTATAAGCAATTCACAAACATTAGAAATCATCTTGATAAACATTAATGGGAAAGTCGGGCATCACTTTTCAAGCTACAAAAGCTTGTTATATTTCAAGCAGCAGAATGTCTAAACCTCGCTACATGGAAGATATAGGCATAGACAACATTGAGATTAACTAATCGAAAAAGTTTATATAAGAATTAAGGTGCACCTGAAAAATAGGTTTGTTTTGGTATTGGAAACCCCCTTAATCATCTCGACATCAAGATGAATGAATATGAAAAGAAAAAAAAAATTTTGAATCCCAAAAATAGTGTGTCTTGAAACATATTATATGGACCGTCTATTTTTTAGATTTTCATATGTTTATGATCTACTTTATTTAAACCATTTTTCAAATTTAAAAATTTATAATTAGAGATAAAAATAGGTTCTCAAAATTACATTTATGATAAATTTTAGAGGTGTGCCTTAATTGGATTGTTTAAGGGCAAACTTATGCGTACCACACCCTTAACTTATTAACGTGTTACCCCAATTCAACTATCAGAGTGAAATGATACATAAAAATGGAGAAAAAACATGGGAACAACTACAAAACAAAGTAATAATTACACATAGAAGAGGGAGATTGTATTGAAATTGTCTTTGGCACACGAAGGTCACAAATACTCCTGGCTTCATATTGGATGGCTTGGAGTATGTTAAGAAGTTTCGGAAATATTTGTTTGAGCTGTGAGACTATTCAAAGATACACTCACAACTATCCGATTTGAACTCAAATGGACAAGAATGATTGTGAAAGGTCTCTTGAATGAAAAGTCTTTTTATATATTTTTCCTAGAAGAGGAACATAGGTATCTAGAGTTTGATGAAAGGGAGACACACTGGGGTTTAAATAGAGAAGTGTACATTTGGAGTGAGAGGCAAGCTTTCTATACTTTCCTTAATGTATAAGTGTTTTATACTTCCCCTCATCTAGCCATCAGATTTGAATGAACAGTTGAGATGAATCCAATTCCAATGTCTACCACTGTTTTATTTTTTATTTTTTATTTTTTCAACAATTAATTTTGACACCAAAATTTTGTCGTCCACTTTTCTCTGAAACCCACACTTGCAAAAATATAGAAAAGTATTATTGATAAAATAAAATGATCAAAATACTCTTGAAAGTTTCAGGGGTATTTTGATTATTTTATTTTATTAAAAATATTGTTTTTTATTTTTATTTTTTAGATGTGCTCCATCGAAATGATGGCACAACCAAAATTTACGCTCATATAATTTGTAGAATAAGAATTAAAAATAAAATATTTCGATACATCAAATAATCAATGACTTATTTGATCTAACTTGAACGACTAGATCGGGGTATAAAACTTCTAACCTTTCCCTCGAGTGGGAGGGTGCGTTGAGCTGTAGGGAGCTCTTGAACTTAGGCTCATAGGCTTTCCAAACACCATTTGAATTAGGACATGGAGAGAGGGACGGTAACAAAAATCAAAAGACGTGGAAAGAGAGATGGTAACAAAAAAGAAAAGACGAGTGAGAGAATGGTAAAAAAAAAAAAAAAAAGCGAGAGGGAGTGCATGTGAAGAAATTGCAAGTGATGAGGTTTTAAAGGCATGTGGGCTTGGTGGGACTTTGAGGCCCGACTTGAACATAAAAAAAAAATACTGTCTTTGGAAGATATAGTTCCAACCTGCGATAAATCCAATCAAAACTTCATGTTTAATCAACAATTTTTAACTGTTTACAAAAATAGTTAGGAATTTGGATTACTGACCCAAACGTGGCTTAGTCATGGAGGTATTTTAGAAAAATAAAATTTTTATATGGGTTATGTTAATTTTAGATACTTTTATATCTTTGTTTTGTACATCAATAATTTTTAATAAATATAGATGCTCACATTATGGAGTAATTTAACACAGTACTCAACAAAATTTAGACACTTATATACATTTTCTTTATACATGGACTTTTTTTTGTAGGGGCATTTTTTATCATTAAGATGGGTGTGACGTCATCTACATGGGGTGTTATATCACTCATATGGAACATTACTAAAAATGAAATGTTTATATAAAGTTGAGGCTCTAAACAATCAAATCAGAGCCTACCTCAAAATTTTCACTATAAGAGGTTGTTTTGATGCCCATATATCCTCAAATTGATCATCTCGATATCAAGATGCATGAACACGAGAGAAAAATGGATTTTAAGTTTTTAAAATAGTATATTTTGTAACACAATTTTTAACCGTCAATTTTCAAGATTTTCAAGTTCTCACAGTCTGTCGATCTACACTATTTTTTGAAGCTTTAAACTTTATAAATAAAGATGAAAATACATTTAAGGCTATCACATAGATTTCCAATATTGAAACAACATTTCTCGAAACTATTTGAAGGTAGGCTGTAATTTGATTGTTCAAAGCCTAAGCTCTATACAAACTGCAACGTTACTAACAATACCCCTATTAAAAAAATGTTTCATGTACAAAACAATGGTATAGAAGTGTCTAAAATTTGTTGAGTACAATGATAAATTTTCCATATTGTGAGTACCTTAACATAACCCTATATAAAAGGTATAAGTATAAAATAAAAAATATTAAGAGACATTTTTTTAAGGGTTGTAAGGCTGTAGCGTTATATATGATTTGTTTTAGTTGGTTTCTAAAGTTGTAAGGCTGCAGTGTACTATATTTATTTATTTTAGTTGAATGGTTTAAATTTGACACTGTCGAATAGTATCAAAATACGACATATCTTTTAACGTAATATCAAATCCATACCATCCAAATAAATTTGATAGTGTGGACTAGTGAGTTGATACACCCAATCAAGGTTGCAATTTTATGCACGTAAAAGGATATATTTATAAAATTTGTCCAAATTTAGAAAATGAGTGGGTTGATAAATGTTTGAAACCACTTATTTTTTGTTTCGCTGCAAGTAGGAGATGTGTTCAAACATTGGATATCCAAAACACTGTAAACTGAAAAATGACAACAAAAAGAAAAAAGAAAAAGAAAATACGCCTTTGAGAAAAATGTGATATTGGCAATTTAAAAATGGGTGTGGTTTCTATAAGGTTGCAACCTAAAACAATCCAATTAAGGCACACCTCTAAATTTTATCATGACATGTAATTTTGGTGTAAAAAATTATAAGGATTATCTCAAAATCTATATTTATATTCAATTATAAAAATTTGAAGTCCACCTCAAATCATTGTATGCATGAACATGAGAAAAAAATGGATTTCAAGCTTTTGGAAATAGTGCATCTTGTAACGCATTTGTAGACCGTCAATTTTCAAGTTTTAATAGATTTACTTGATCTACACTATTTTTAAAGCTTTAAACTTTACAAATAAATATGAAAATATATTTTAAGGTTATCACAAATATTGTTAGTATTGAAACCACATTTCTTGATACTATTTGAAGGTAGGCTCTAATTTGATTGTTTAGAACCTCGGCTCTATCTCTCTCTCTCTATATATATATACACTATTTTTGAAGCTTTAAACTTTACAAATAAATATGAAAATATATGTTAAGGCTATCACAAATATTTTTGGTATTGAAACCACATTTTTCAACGAATGTATGCTCTAATTTGATTGATTAGAACCTCGGCTCTCTCTCTCTCTCTATATATATATATATATTACATAATACATTTTATGTATAACCTGGCCTGATAGGGTCCAATGCTGAACCTAGACTCGAACTAGTGCAAGTCATTTGGGCCTAGACCTGTCTTGCTAGGTCTAAACTATGGACCTGGACGCATACCCAGTTCAGGTCGCCCCCGCCCTGATTGCCACCCCTAGGGTAGGGGTTATGGCCTAGCCCTGTCGCTTTTTGTTTTCATTTTATGAATTTAGAGAAAGTATGTAAACCCGGCCCGATCTATGAAAAGGACTGGTCAGGCCACATTGCGCAAGACTCGTGCCATCGTGCCCTTAACCCTAGCACCTGTCCTCCACTCCTCAGTCGCCATGTGACGTTCGCACAAAAGCAGTTTCCCGCGTTTACTAGTCCAGTTAAATGAAAAAAGAACGTAAAAAATAGAAAACCACAGAGCATGGCCTTCTAGGGTTTATCCCTCTTACTAGGGTTTATCACTGTTAATCCATTTTTCCCCTTGTTTATTTTTCAACTCTCTCGCTGATGCTCCTGCAACTCAAAGATGAAAAGATACTGATTCTGCCCTAGAAATGGACCTCAACCGACGGTTAACAATGCAGGAGCACACTTCAGAACCTAATAGAGTCCATTTCGGAATGTCTTTCTTCAATTTATTGAGCTTTTACTCAGCCATGGGCGGGTTTCTGATAGCTTTGCTTTCACCAGTGGACTCAGCCTCTGGACCTCATATAAATGATTTGAATGTGCTTTTGCCTCCTCTGATAACTAAGCCTGTTGAGTATCGCCTTCAAGGAACTGATGGTTGTTTTTCATGGTGCGATTTTACCTTGTTTTTGTTTTTAATTTTTGGGAACAAAGGATTTTGTGCTGATATTGATGGAATTAGAAGATTGATTAAATTGTTTGGTCAGAGTTGGTGGAGTTTGATTTTTTTTGCCAGTTTATGAATCTGGAGTGAAATTTGGCCGTAAATAGGATCACAGTGCATATATAGTGTTAGTTCAGAGCTTTTTGCTTATTTACTTGTTTAGTATTTTTCTTTGCTTTTTTTGTTTTTATTTCGAGAATGTCATTTTGAAATGGTTTTATTTGGTGCTAGTTTAATGAGATGTACTATGAGTGCTGCGTCAAGCTTGCAACCTCGGAACTCTACTTTTTCGTTAACGAAATTTAAAATTGTGAACCTTGATCAGTATGTGTGGTTAGTATCAGCTCATTTGCTTGATTGTTCTTTGTCTAATTCATTTGTTGTTTTGCCAGATTACTGTTTTTTATTGATATGAATAATATTGTATTTATTTCTCTATATTTGAAATGATTCAGTCTAGTTGGTAATTTATGTATGGCTGTTTTGCTGTTGTTATCCTTACGGAGGAGCCCTTCACAGACAAAGGGGGAAATTCAGGTGAGGGTATGTGTAATATTTGCTATATATGAATAGCCTCTAGCTTATTACATTTTATTTCTTGATGCATGACTAGCTATAATTTGTAACCAATGAATTTCACATCTCGACTCATGGAATTCATGACTTCGATAGCCTCTAGCTTATTACATTTTATTTCTTGATGCATGACTAGCTATAATTTGTAACCAATGAATTTCACATCTTGACTCATGGAATTCATGCTGAAAGTCTTAAGTCATGAATTGTGAACGTTACAATGTGCTTTTCAGATGAACCAAATAAAACATAGTTCAACAAATATTCCTAAAGAAATATCTACATAGTTATATGACAACATTCATGCTCATAAATGTGTACCATAATATACCAACTTTATTGTTTATATCTGAAGTGAACATCGAGTTCTTCTGATAATTTCTGGATCATATTTGTCATGGGTTATATTAGTTGATATTCATGGAATCTTTCTCCCACCTGACAGGTCATGGGATCACCATGATATCTTATATGTCCAGCCTGAGTATAATGGAACTAGCCACTGTTCAACCAGTGCACGGATAATATCAATTGCACCGTATGGTGGTCGGAAGGAGTCTGCTGTTTATGCTACTGATATTCATAGTGGGACCGTCATTAGATGTGAAGTTTTTATTGATAAAATATCTCGAATTCAGATATTTCATCACTCAGTTAAATTGGATCTTGATGGGCTCGCTACTCTCCAAGTTCGTGCATTTGATGATGAAGGTGCTCTATACCTGCGCCCTTTGCTGTGATTTGTGACTTGTTTGGCCACTGCACTTTGTTAATATGGTGGTTTTGAGAGGCATTTTCATCGGTTATTTTCTTTTGTATTCAAATTCTAACTCTCATACATATATCCGATGCATTCCTAGACTGCATTGATTAGTTATTTGGGAGGCAGTACTTTAGCTTATTCTGGCTAATTGAGTTAAGTGCTATAATCGTTTTCTATTCTATCTAAGCTCTGAACTTTCCTTGTTTGTAGTTTTATACCGACTCATAGATGGCCATTTGATGCAGACAACATATTTTCATCTTTGGCGGGCCTACGATTTATGTGGCATCTAATGCCTAAGGATGCAGAGGTTGATGAGCCACTTCATCGCCTTGTTCATGTTCCATTGAAAGATACCCCCTTGAGTGATTGTGGTGGTTTTTGTGGGGATATAAGTACCCAAATAAAGATTGAAGATAGTGTAAGTGGATGCCTATAACGTAGTGCTATCATATATAATGATATGTAATTATTTTTTAAAAGGTTGGCCTTTGATAGCAAACTTGGCCTTTGCTATTATATAAAATGATTCTTCCATATGCATTGTAGGGTGTGAGAGAGTGTAAGTGGATACCTATAACGTAGTGCTATCATATATAATGAGATGTAATTCTGTTCTAAAAGGTTGGCCTTTGATAGCAAACTTGGCCTTTGCTATCATATAAAATGATTCTTCCATATGCACTGTAGGGTGTGGGATCTGATTTATATGTTGTACGAGGAATTGGTATTGGCCATGAGATTGTTGCTGTTCATCTACTTGAACCCCACCTTGAGCACGTTCAAGATACCATTACATTGACCATTGTAGAATCTATGTCTCTGGATCCTCCATCTCCTGTTTTGGTCATTATTGGTGCTTGTGTACACTACAGTCTGCGAGTTCTCCGTAAGAATACTCCTCAAGGTTTGTTCCTACCAATTTATGTAATAGCTTTTCACCTAAATTTGTGTCATCAAGTGCACAGAATCTGTATTATTAATTGCACAAAGTGGCTTTTACTAAATTGCTGCAATTCTAGTTTGATCTATACTATTATGCATTATTATCTTGCTCTCCTGTAGTTTCTTTGAACCACTTGTGCTCATCCTTATAATTTCAGATAGTGACAATTATTCTAGCTCCCGGGGCCTTTTTTGTGGTTCAACAGTTGAAATTGTTTCATATGCAAATCATTTTCTGACTGTGTGAACTAGATGCATTAAAGCATGACATCTCTTTTTTAAGTAGTGATCCTGCCGTTTCAGGTTCAGTGTATGTATTATTTGCGAATCTTCAATCATACATTTATAATATCAGCATGCTTAGGATTTCTTGATTCAATGAATCCAAGGTTCGAATCTTATTTAAACAACCCAAAAGCATATGCAGGTATGGTTCCTATAGGTGCATGGAGTTAATCATAATCAATCATTTTGTGGCACACTAAAATGTGTTGTTGGTTTTCATAAACTTTGCATGATGCGCTGTCCAAACTGTTGAAAATCCATAACACTGTTGTTGAAATTTGACTAGTGAGTTCATTGGATATCATGTGAGACTGGTTGGTAGAGCTAAGCTTCATGAAGAAAATAATTTTGGTTAAATTTGTAAGGAAAAGCAGAAAAATGATGACTAGGGAGACAGAAAATAATTAACAGTTTTGTCTTCTTTCTATTTTAGTATATCCTAGCCATCTCTTTCTCTTTTCTCTTTTGAAGAGAACAATTAAAGTGGATGTGTCTAAATCAGTTTGTATGATGGAGCCAAAGGGTTGAGACCTTTGAAGTTTGTCCCCAAAAAACCCTTTGCTCGTCTGCTGTTTTTTAGTGAGAATAGATCATTGACATGGAAGACTTTATATACTTAGGATATCCATCATGTGGACATGTCTATTCATGTAATATTTAAGATATTTTCTCAAAGCCTGCTTATCTATCACAAGAGACTAGAATCTGTTCATTAAATTGATTTCTAGTATAATTATGTATTTTATCATTATATGTGTTTCTTCTTATTGATGTGTTTTATATTCATTCTCTATATAGTGCTGCCAGTTGTTATGGTTAGTTGTTCTCTGTTTGATTTTGAGGTCTTCAAATGTCCATTATTTCATTTGTGGCGATGCTTCATTTTGTACTCATATGATTTATTCTTTCTGCATGAATTGATGGCCAATTGACCATTTTTTCTAATATTTTTGTTTTATGGTCGCTTGTGTGTGTTCTTACTCTCTCTTGTCTGTAACAGCAATTCCATTGCCGTCACAATATCATATTTGGTCTGTTGTAAACTCCTCTGTCGCATTGGTTGACCCTCTAATGGGTATAGCTTATGCTCAGAACTTGGGAATCACAAATATCATTGTTGAGGACATAAGGGTCGCTGGACATCAACAGATATCATCGATGCATGTAGTCATGCCAGATAGGATTGTGTTGTTTTTATTGCCAATAACAATTTCATCTGTCCCACTAGAAGGGAGGGAGGCTATACCATCTTCAGTCCCTTGGTACCTAGTTGTTGGCCAAGATTATGTTGTCCATTTGAAGGTTTTCTCACCTGAATATAGAGAGAGAGCGTTGTACATTACTAAGGTTTGATTCCAATTATCTTCACTGCTTTCTTCATTTCTTTCTTTTTCTCTATGCCTTTCTTTCTAGTTTTACTGATTTGGTTCATCAATGATGCTTTGATACTGTAGAGAAATTGAAATAGCTGTATTTGTTGATGTTATAGGTCTTCTAAGAAGTTTTGTTGTGATTGCATCCCTTTAGTTTGTGGGCAATTTTTTTTGTTGATATTTCATTTTTTTTCTTCTTTTTTTTTTCCTCTAGAATTTACAGATTTGGTGCACTGATGATACTTAAATACCACTAGGAAATAAAAAATGTTGCATTGGTTGATGTAACAGGTCTTTAAGAGAGTTCTGTTGTGCATGGATCTCTTTAATTTGCAGGCAATTTTGTTGTTGTGATTGGTGCTCCAAATTAAAGAATTTAATGCTTACCATTTTGGTCTAAAGCTGGGGTTAAAGTTGTGAAAACAAAATTCTAACTTTGCAGTTAAGCTTTGAGGCCTTTTGCTACAACTTATTAGCTACTGAATTAGCTTCCCTAGGCCTAACTAACATGGGCAATGTAGCAATTTAACATGAATTATTTCTAAAACATCCCATCCAATTTCTTCAAGGGATGATATTTTACTTTTAGCAATCCAATCACTTTTGTGGAATTTCTTTTTGGTTATCGTTGGACTGAGGTTTACCCTAGACTCGGTTGTCCCTCCTCCCAAGGCGGCCCTAGCTTTGGGCAACATGGCAACTTTGAAGTACTGGTTGGACTGGAGTGTCATTGTATAATCACCCTCAGCTCCTCCATGTTGCCTTAGGTTAATCTGAAAAATGGGGAGGGTAAGTTTCCCCTCAATTGATGCTCACCTGCGTAGAAATGGATATTATCATGGAAATGCCATTATCCATGAATCATATAATTCTGCTAACGCCAGCCTCTTTTGGTCTTGTCTGGCTCAAGGAATGAATTCATGTTGAAAGATCCTGATCATTGTGTTGGATTTGAAAGCTCTTCTGAAAACTCGATCATGTCTTTTCTTCTGGTTGTGCTTAGTGGCAACTGGTTGCCTATAACTTTCAACATTAGGTCATCATGCTCTTCTTGTTCTAAGGATGATGAGTCTTGGCCTATTCTATACTAAAAGATATAGGCATTTTCAGATGGCAAATCTTTAATTGTTAAACTTGATTCTCTGAGGTGTGTAGTCAACTTGGTGAATACTCATCAAACTTACCAAGTTCATATATTTGGACTTGTAGAGCTGTCAAGAATCCAAAACATTTATAGTTCCGTTTTCTACATTCATTTCCTGGGCATATAGGGAAGGAGGAGACACTTGGGCCATTTTTTCATCCTTGACTCGGTAGTGGTATTTTTTAAGTCAAACTAGGCTCAGGACTCAGCCTGGTGTTGAGCCTGGTCAGACTGGTTTGACTTTGCTGGGTCATGTAACGACTTGGTTGAGTCGATTCTAAACTCATGTGAATTTTGTGAAACTCACCAAGTTGACCCAGGCACGAGTTTTAGAACATGGCATGGTAGTATCTTACAGAAAACTAAACATCCATGTTCTGTTTTAAAAAATATTGCAATATAATAAATTAGAAATTGCTCTTTGGCTATATTTTGTTGTTAATACTCCTTTTGGTGCAAGTAAAACCTAGATCTTTGCTGGATTGAAGGGCATTTTTAGCTTTTGTGGTTGGGTTTTTGCAAGGGAAACTTGCGAAGTCATATTCAACTTTTCATTTATTTGTAGTTCTTTACCTTAAAAACTGAAGATATTTGGAAGTATATTTGGTAATGATTGTTGAGAGTGTTCTGAATTTGAACTATTTATGTCTAGTGGATTTGCATCTTAAGAGTTCTGAGTGAGAAAAATTACTATACATCTTTTTTCTTTTATATACTTTTTTATATTGACACAGGCTAGCTAGCAAAGGTTAAAAATGTTTTAACCATTTTTTAGATGCTTTGGCATATGTTTTCTTTTGCATATATTTTTATTCACTTTTCTTCTTTGCAGAATGAAGATTTGAAGCTGGAATATGATAAGCCTGAATATTGGGTTATGTCTGCAGTCCCAGGTGAGATTGCTATTAAACATGGTTGGCTGAATTGCACACGCCTGACAGCTATCTCTGAGGGCATAGGAAAGTTGTCTGCTTCTTTAACGTATCATAGTGGAAATCCAGAAGAGTCTAAGGTTGGCTATCTCTGCAGGCCTGTTTTATTTGGTTGAAAATACTGTATATGCCTGCTCTGATGTTGTTTAATGGCGACTAAGGGTTAGCTATCTATTCTCATTATAGGTTCTTTGTGTCATGCAAGAAGTTCAAGTCTGCAATCGTGTCACAATCTTTTTGGGTGAAGTGGATATTGTGCCTTCGCCCATTCGCATTCCTTGGGCTCCTGGTGTGTACCAGGAGGTCGACTTAAAGGCAATAGGAGGTTGAACCATGAATCATATGATCCCTCCAGTCCTTTTATTCATATTCCAGCATTTTGATGTGTGGTACACTAATGTTGGGCTTTTTTTTTGAATGTTCACTAATTTGGCTTTTAACTATTAATAATACAGGTTGTGCCATATCATCGAGAGATTACCGTTGGTTCTCATCCGACAAGGGTATTGTATCTGTTTCGGCTTCTGGATATGTTCAGGCAAAGCGCCCTGGTCAAGCTATCATTAAAGTGGAATCTGTCTTTGACTCTCTTAACTATGATGAGGTGGGAAAATTTAAGCTGCCAAATGTTAAACATAAGGGTGAACAATTTTATCATTATAAAAAAGAAGAACAACAATTTTTACATTCCTTGTTCATTGAACCTCAAAATTGAAAAAGTAAAATAAAATAAAAAGTTCAGCGTTCATTTCTTTGGTGACGAATTATGTCATTTCTTATTTGAAGCTTCATTTGGGAACTGCTTCTAGTTTCAAGTACAGAAAGTGCCCATACCGTGAAGTTCTTGTCCAATTAAACCCTAATTTAGTAAATCTGATGAGTAAATTACTTCACTTGCTCTCTTTTATTCCATCTTATAGCAACTTGACTTTTCTTTATTGTCCTGTTATCAATTGGCCAAATTTATACTGTTCCATCTAGCATATATGATTTTATAACTTGCAATTTGTAAATGTATTAGTGAGTAACACTATATAACCTTACAAAAATAGGCCATCATGCATGGGGTTGTATTTGTCGGTGTATGTCTCCATTTTGAAGGTTTATGTAGTCATCCTTATTTAGAGAAAACAATGTCGGACTTGTTTTTTAGTAGCCTGGTGATGCAGGAAGGAAATGTGAGAAATTGAATCCACCTTTTCCCGAACGTCATACAAGTAAGAACCAGCAATAATGGAGAAAAGGCATGGTTATAAATCAAGCCAAGAAAAAGAACTTTCTTTTTTCATAAAATAAAATTCGTTCGAAATAGCATAAGCATCTCAAAATATGACATTCAACCTTTTATAAGCCTATGAAAATCTAAAATTAACTTAAGATCCAAGTCAACATTAAAGACTCTAAAATACCCCTATTCTATACTGAAATTTCAAAAATACCCCTGCAAAACTTAAAAACCCAAAAACTAAATCTTAAGTACGTGGGAGGCAAGGACACACAGGGATAGG